AATTCGGTCTACAAGAATAGTTCAGAGAACATCAACTGCAGACATGCGATAAGAGAAACAAAGGCTGCACATGGACTAGATTGTAGGTACAGCCATACAGTGCTGGTTTTTCTTTTGAGCAGTAACAATCAGAACAAAAAAGGACGTGGCTTGAACATATTCACATCTTCTTCATGAGATATTAGTTTTGTAAACTACTAAATCACATTTAGATTAAAGTTTCAAGAATGACTCAAGTAAACTGGAAGATCATTTTGTTCACTTGACCAACTTATTTCTTATTGCAGAGGTCATAACATCCGCAGAGTTTCATCCTACTCATTGTAACATGTTAGCGTATAGTAGTTCAAAAGGATCTATTCGTCTAGTTGATTTGCGGCAATCAGCCTTGGTAGATTCACATTCTAAACTGTAAGTACTTCAGTGCCACTTTATTTTCTGCTTATGATGAAACAAATTCTGTAAATTTTGTACTGCATAGGAATTTAATCATTGTGCTGTAGCTTCCTCCATGCTGCTATTAAATGCTCGTACTTTTTACGTAATGATCTTCTATTCATGAACAGATTTGAGGAACTGGAGCCACCTGGTTCAAGATCATTTTTTACCGAGATAATAGCTTCAATTTCAGATATTAAGTTTGCGAAGGATGGGAGATATCTACTTAGTCGTGACTACATGACCCTTAAGGTTTATCTTCTGTAATTATTTACTTAGTCACGACTATGTGTGTGTGTGTGTGTGTGTGGTTCATTACTGTAATCGGTCATTCTGTTTGTGGTTTGTTGCCTGGACATGCTCTGTCAAGTATGTAACTGTAGGCATTTTATAAGCATTTATCAGGAATAAGGACAAACAGATGGAAGTTGATTATATTTAGGCATGTAGTAAGTTTCATCTTAAAGCTGCATATGTTTGAAGGAGCATGGCTTTAGCAATGGGAAATAATTCATCATAATCACCTATTTGACTATGTTTTACTTGCTGACTGTAGAAGGTCCCCGTCATCTGTTATGCGCTTAACAAGATGCATAGTTATTTTGCATGATTGGCTTATGTAGTATTCAATTTTCTGTAGTGCTTTAATTTTAGTCCATCACTGATGCTTAAACGGTTTCAGTTATGGGACATTAATATGGATTCTGGACCAGTAGCTACCTTTCAGGTTCACGAGTATTTAAGACCCAAGGTGAATAACCCTTTTCAAAGAAAATTTTATCCGATGTTTTGATGTTTAATTGAGCTGATATTAGATTATAATTTGATAATTATCCAGCTATGTGACTTATACGAGAATGATTCCATTTTTGACAAATTTGAATGTTGCCTGAGTGGCGATGGTCTAAGAGTAGCGACTGGTTCTTACAGGTATGTTCAAGTCTCTTGTCAGTCGTGTCACGTCTGTTCAGATTTTTTTGCGTCTGACAAAACATTTAGTGCATGTTTGTCAAAGCTTATAATTGCTTATAACAAGTGGGTCCAAAGGAATATGTTGTTAAAAAGTAGGTAAAAATTGTGATTCTTATGGAATATATGGATAAAAATAGATCAGCTTGTAAACAATTGTGAACTTTGACAAACACGCACTTAATTGATCTTAGCAATCTATTCCGGGTGTTTGGGCGTGCTGCGGGTAGTACTGAAGCAACCACACTGGAGGCAAGCAAAAATCCTATGAGGTATTTTTGTTGATTACTTTTTATAAATTGGTCATAGATTGATTTTGTTCTATATTTTAATTGTTTTGAGAAAAATTTCTTTGTGATCCTTCAGACGACAAGTCCAGGCACCTCCAAGGCCTTCAAGATCCTTGAGCAGCAGCATAACTCGTGTTGTCAGGAAAGGTATATGCTTTCTCTCTTATTGATGACATTTGAATGGGGTTAAGTACACTGATGATCATTTTTGCAGGTTGGTTATTGAACTTAAACTTTATTACACTCTGATTTCTCCATCTATGTCCATTAGATTCACAAACGAAAAAGGTGACACAGCAGTCTTTTTTTTTTCCAGCTAGACTGCCACATCAGCTTTTTTGTTGCTCAAACTAATGTTCTGGAAGAGAATGTTCAAACATAACAAATCTTTAAGTTGAATGACCAACTTCGAACAAAGTTTAAGTTCAGCGATCAACTTAGAACAAGATGATATTTAGCGCTTGTTTGAGCCCCATTTTTGGCTAAAAACACACTTTGGAATAGTAGATTGATGGAGAATGTGTGGTTAAAAAATAATGTTAAGTTTTGGATTTGCGTTTATTGACAAATGTGTTGTTGAAAAGATGAAAGAGAAAAATGAATTTTGGAAATAATGGGGATCAAATGAGGGCTTCGTGACCAACTCGAATTGTTGCTAAGAGTCTAGTGACAACAAGTGTATTTAAACCCCATTTATTTTTTCCCCCTCTTAACCCTAAAAGATCGATAACGGTTACAGGTGCAGAAAGTCCCGGAGTCGATGCCAATGGGAATTCATTTGATTTCACCACAAAACTGCTCCACATGGCATGGCACCCAACCGAAAACTCAATTGCATGTGCTGCTGCTAACAGCTTGTACATGTATTATGCATAAATAGCAGTACTGAAAAACTCGGTCGACATTTTTGGATTGCCTATTGGACAGTACCAAATTGAGGCTCTTCCATTTCCCATATCCAAGTGCCTCGTAAATCTGTAAGCACGCGAAGTGGCTGTTGTCGGATTCTCAATGTACCAACTTGTCTTCATAACCGTCTACCCGGTTTGCTTTCTTCCATTACTCAGCCTTTTCTGCTTCAGCCTCAATTTCTTCTATTTTTTACCTCGCCTCGAAAAGAAAGACGGGAAAGAATGTGATTATAGTACTTCCTAGTTTTAAGTTACATGTAGCAGTTAACTTGAAATCTTCTTGGAAAAAGGAGTTGCTGCTAACTTGCAGGTATCAAGTTTATTAACTTGGGTAGAAAAATGTTTTCTTTTATGTAGAATGATTTTGATCTGCTTTTGTCATAGATTTTCACTCGATATTTAATTTGTAAAAGTAATTCGAGCTCCGGCCTTGGTTGATTTGTACATTTTACATGCATGCTGGAAAATTTGAATTGCATCTGCTGCTAATGCCGCAAGGCATGTATTTTAGGCGTCCATGTTTCAATATGTCCAATGTAAAATGCAGTTCTGTAATCTCTTCCTCTGTCTAGTAAGTTGGGTTTCAAATTTTTATGAAGAATTTATTACAGTTACATATGTAACTGTTTAAATGCTGAGCAAACCATTTTTTTTAGTTTAATTGTCATGTAGTTCCGATTACGATATGCTTCACTCTCAGATTTGAGGTCATGCGTGAATTATTTGGATGATTTTCCCTTAGAAGTTGTGGTTGCTCTGCTACTAGTATCTGATATCTTTTATTATAACAAAAAATAGGGTGAATTTCACAGAGATCCATTGCATTCCTTCTGATTTTAATAACTATAAAAATGATTAATAGCAGAAAACCCTTATGGAAACGTTTCCATTTGCAATATACCTCTCGCTAAGTGGAAATTGCAAAAAACTTCGTTGTTTGAAATCTTTTGTGCAAAAAGCCCATTGCCGTCAATATTCGTCTAATTTGCCGTTAAAAATGGTAAAAAATGTCAAAATTAAAATGAACAGGAAATTGAGAACAGACGGCACTTTACAAATTATCAATGACGACACCACCACCAAAGCCACCGATTTTCGTACAGCACTCACTGTGGCACTCTCTAGTACACTATCTGTTTGGCGCCCGGCCTTGCCGCCTTGCTTGGACAAATAGCGTTTAAGCCTGTCAATCTTGAAAATCATGTAAGCTCAATTAGGATGCCTCGCCAGTGCAAAAGGCACCTTGTCCGGAGCCGACTATGCGATGACTGAAATGGACCGACCTTCTAGTTTCTATTAATGTGTGTACTGTTTATCAGAACAACTTCTTTATTTATTTCAAATAGTATGTTTTGGTATGTGATTTGCTTACTGATTTTGTAACTTATCTAATTTTTGTGGAAATTAAATTGCTTGAAAATGGGGATTGTTTAGGACATTGAAATGCTTGAAAATGAGGATGAAAATAAAGTTGGAAATTTTGTACATTCATTGGGGATGAGTGCCATGATTTTGGGGTGGGGGTTTGAAGGAGAGTAGATGAAGCGCCATCATCCCTGGTATTCCTTTGCGTCTTCTGTAATGGTTCTTTCGGTATAATTTGAAAAAATAAAAGTTTGGGTATTGCAATTGTAATGAGTCATTTTTAATTTTGACATTTTTTTTACCCTTTTTAACAAAAAAAGCTGACGATCTTGACGGCAATAGGTTTTTTCTCACAAAAAGTTTCAAACATGAGGGTTTTTTTAGACCACAAAATTGATAAACTTAAAATACCTTTTTTAAGGAGCGTAACAGTTTTGCAGAGTATAATGTTCATTTGATTGGCAAGTTCAACATTGGAACAAGAAATGGAAGTAGATCATACTACTTTTGTCTCCCAAAAATAGACTTACTTTTCTTTTTGGTTTGATCCGTATAATAGGTTACTTGTTAAAAGTATAATTAATATCAAAATTTTCAAATATATCTCTATTTAATGTGCATTGTTATCAACAAATATAAACTATCGTTATTCAATATAGAAGAATATTAGGAAAAATGTAAGTAAAATTTATAGTTGTATATTAATTAAATTTTAGTGTGAAAATAGAAACAAATTTATCTTTGTAAGACGGATGGAGTATAATATTTCTTCTAAAGCCACTACTTCGGCAGCCAACACCGATAAACCATAAAATGGATCCCAGATTCATAATACATGACCAGAAAAATGGAGAGGAGAACAACAAACATGAGTGCTAAACATGCTTAAAGAAAAAGGTAGTCTACATGTCCATAATTTCCTCAAATAGTCGAATAAACATGCCAAGAAACCTTATAGTTGTTGGAAAAAACGCGAATAGATAACGTGACTTAAACAACAAATGGATTATTTGAACTAAAGAAGAGATCACATGGGAATAACGCGAGCTTTGTACATGCAAATGTAAGCCATATGCCAATCACCTGAAAGAAAATAAGCATGTCTCAGAAACCGTTTGTTCAGAAGAGTGGACTGTCAAAATTTTATTTTTGCACTGCTAAGAGTCTTGTCCAATACTACCAGATGTTGCGTAAAGTGTGTATGAGAGAGAGAGAGGGATAGAGTCCAAGTGCGGAGCTAAGAACAAGCAACAATTGATCTTACCTCCTCCAGAAAGTCTTGTAATGTCGTCTTCACGCTGCGGGATTGGATTATCATCATCAAACTGAATCCATTTCCCTGTAACAGATATTAGTTCAACTCAAGTCCAACAACATGGATAATATTAGACTAGGAACTTTTAATGGACAAACCATTTTCTTGCTTGACCCAGGCAACGTAATGCCCCGAATCAGCACTTCTACCCTTGTGTGTCAGAACAGCAACCAAATCATATATTCCTGTCAGTGCCTTCTCTTTCTCGGGAACATCTGAAATGAAGTTTAAACTCATCAAACTACAGGAAGGTAAACAAGCTATAAACACTTCCAGAAATTTGTTCAAAAGCACGTTAAATTGAGACAACACTAGAACTTCCAGAAATCATTTCACAAAAGCAAGTTAAACTGCAGACAACACTATTAATTTCACAAGACGAGGCTTTTTAGCTGTAGATAACCTTCTTCTCTATTACGGTTGTATTCTGGAAATCTAAACATGAAATAGTGCAAGGATTTCTCATGCGCAATGACCTATGTTACCAATGGTTCACTTGATCAGCAAATTATCAAGGTTTTCCAGAGGTTCAGCCTAATCAACTACATATGTTAAATAAAACAAACTAAACTATAAATAAAGTTCTTTAAGAAGACCATCACCTTCAACCGGTTCACATTTAGACGAATCCCCACTTCTATTTGATGATGCCTGCACAAGTAGACAAAATGGGTAAATTCAATTTCTGGTAACTATACTTTCACTCTAACTATAACATTAATCGGGGTATCTACAGCTTAATATTATTTCAATCCGGTAACTAGGCTTTAATATGATTTCAACAGGGTAACCACACTTTAATTTGATTATAATTGGGTATCTATTGATTTCCGCTAACGATAATTGATGCGTCACAGTCAATAAATGATGATAATCAAGCGGAACCGTTAGTTGATAACATAAAATAAGTACATCTTCATTTAAATAAATGACATGCATGATTTATTGATTGCTGTGCCATTGGTTTTTGTCGGTCCAAGTGACAAAGTTAGTCGGAGTTACCTAATTGGAATTACATTGAGCCGGTGTTACCCACTTGAACAAAATGAAGTACAATTACCTAGTTAAAATATAGTAACGTCGATTTATCCAGTTTTTCATAAGCACGACTGAACAGGGTAATGAATCTCTTCCTATCAGTTGTTCTATGATCAGATTAATCACATACCTCTGCCTCAGCCATCTTGACATCATCGTCTGTTGAACCAGAGTTCTTATCACTAGTTTTTAGACCAAGCTTCTTGCCTTCCTCGTCTCTTAGAATCTTAAAGTTGGAAGATTAAAAATGACTCGTCAAATGAGAAAACTGCAGGGGTGTCTGGATGAGGTGTTACGTAACAAAAGTGTGCAACTTGGGTTCTAATTAATCAAATGCAAAAAAGCTTATACCCGGCGAGGAACTTCCAATCTTTTGCGAAGATCTTCTGAACAAAAATCATAGACGTCCAACTCCAAAGGATAGTCCACTTTCTGTGCACCATGCAAAAATAATAGTGGAGAAAACATTTCATAAATTGTGTACAGGAAACTGATGCTCTTATCAAAAAAAGTACAGGAAACTGATGCCCCAGGTAAAATTTAAGCATTTTCAAGTTTAAGAGAGAAAATGGCTGGTCTAACTGCTACCATCTTCAAGAAATGAAATTGCTCTAATGTGGAGGGATGTGTGCCGCGTGCATCTTCTGTTTTGGAGAATGCAGCAGAGAAACAACAAATGTAAATAAAATTTTACCCGCAAAATTTTTGCCTTCTGATTTGATTCTCTTTTCCAGAAAAAACGTACAAATTGAATAGTCAAATATCTGTTCATCAGAAATTAAAAGAATAGTCATTTTCACCTACCCAGAGAAACATAGCCACAGTTTTAATGGGCCAAGACACAATAAAATACAATGAAAGCATCTGAAACAGGAAGGACGGAAGGGAACCAGAAAAGGAGAGGAATGTAGTGCTGTAGCTCATACCTTGGCAAATCATTAATGCGGGAATCCTTCAAGTACAAGGCACTTCGCCCTAGAGAAGGAGAAGCCTTCTCCAATTCTGATTTTAGACCCTGGATGAAAAATTCATGGTGCAAAATTACCAACCACGTTATAAAATGGACAAGAATAAATTTTACTAGTTATTGTTACTCTAATAGCCTGCACCAATTCTAACCCAAGAAATATTTTGTTTGTCGTCGCGCTGTCATTATTACAAAGGAAAGAACCAAAGATAAAGCTAGCAATTTATCAAATTAAGGATGATAATGCATTTTTACAATATGGCTGATATGATTTCAAGAATGTTCAGTTTTAGGAGATAATTGCAACTTCATAAATAGTCATCTATAAAGGATAGAGGGGTTAAATCCATGATGCAGAATCAATTTATGAAAAAACCAATATTTAGCAGAAGGGAATAAACAGAAGAATAAAATAGAAACCATAGCAGAATATAAAAGAGATGGCATGATCAAACTTACATGTTTTAGCCCCTCATGCAGATGGTTCACTTCTTGTGAAATATGGCATTTAAGTGAATACACAGATTCTGTTTCTGCGCTTTCTTCACCACTTTCGGGGCAGTGAACCCTATCCTCACATTTACATTTAACTCAATATATCAATTGTCTTTCTCTAGGAATATAGCAATTTAAAAATGATACCAACAAGAAAGACGTGCAGCAGAAACACTAAAGAATTTAATCAATTACATAATAAAGCAACAAATTAAAAAGCGTCCACCCACACAAACAGATTCCACAACCCGTTGATTTTTGTCTCAGTGATCTATATAAGAAACTTCACTTGATGATATCTTTTCCAGCTAATATCCCCAACCTATAAGCAACCACTGTGATAAGTTTACTCTTCAACATTATATCCCATGTTGACCACATACATTTGCTGTTAAATAGTAGTATGATTTTCTTTCTCAGCCACAAATTATTTAGTAACTGCTCATCTAGTTCCCCCTTTTCTTTTTCTTGCAAATATTTTTATAGATACAAACAAGTCACCTAACATTCAAGAACAAAATCAAGACAACAGAGTAACAAAATTTTATTTTTTTTTTGATAGGTAACAACAGAGTAACAAAATCTGAAAGCACAAAGGTCGTTAAAGATTTAACTATTTCAAGAAAAATATAAAACTGAAGTTGAAACTCTACAGGACTGTCAAGAATAAAGAATATATTACTTTGAAAAGACACAAAACGCTTGAGCTAGTACAGCACGCCTATTGGAATTATGAAACTGCATGTGTTAAGAAAAAACTGAAGATGCAGTACGAAGTCAATGCAAGGATCTACAGTAACACATTGATCTTCACTTCTCCCAAAAAATAAAAAATGATGGTTAGCAGAGCTATTCCAGTGGCAAGTACCTTTAAAAGGAGCTTCCGTGGTTAGAAATGGAGGGTACAATATAATCAGTATGCCATTCTGAAGTGTTTTATACATGATTTCTTATTAGGTTACCAAGTAGAAGGACCACAAAGGAAACAATGTGACAGAATGATAAGGAACAGCAAGCTGAATGGCCCAATGCACAACTTTTATTGAACATGTGCTAAAATCACTAAAGCTCACATAAAATTTGCAGGAAATTACTCAACAAATAAATGCCAACTACAATCTTAGCTGACTTAGAACTTGGGCATTGAAAAATTACAGTCTCAAAATTCCTGATCTACAATGCTTACAAAACCTCAATTGTAGAAATACCTGCTAACTAGGTCAATACCAAAAAGTCTCTTCATGGCATCGGGAGCTTCACTGCAAGAGAACATGATAGAGAAAATAAGTGACAAACAATAGACCACACGTGTGAAGAGAAACAGCAGGCAAGAAAAAATGGGTGGGAACAGGAAAAATAAAGCATCACGCATAATAGAAGAGTAATTTAAAAATGAAAATCATTTAGAAAATTTTAAGCTCTCAGAGGCATTCAACAACACCAAGCTTGTTTGGGAGGGATTAAAATCGGATTAAAATTGAAAAACTAGCCGTTATTATTGACTTTTATTAGACAAGTGAGACCCAATAACGGCTATATTTTCAATTTTAATTGGATTAAAATCCCTCCCAAACAAGCTCCTTAACTTATATAACAGATGATGTGCACTACCTGGAACTTGGTGATTTGAGAGATTGTGAAAGGGTATAAATAAGTTGTGTCCAACATTCTTCAGCATCCTATCATTAGTTAAAATATGTCAAACATATTGACAGATGGTAGAGCCAACCAGAGTAATCAGCTCTGAGGTACATATGCATACCTGCTGCATGTAAACTCCATTTTGCAGCTGGGCAAATTGAGGATATTTTTTCCGCAATTCCTAGAAAATGAAATTCAGGAACCAGATGTGCTTAGTCTGTGGGTTCACTTCATAATTCAAAAAGAAAAAAAATGGCAATATGGTGGACAAGAATCAGTTCATTTTCGAGTAGTCATTGATAGGTATAATAAAAGAAATGAAGCAACGAACTGATAAAAGAAACACCTTCATGTATCAGTACAGTCATTGGCATAGTTATAATAAAAAGTTCCAAATAGCTTTGGTGGACAAGAATCAGTACATTCGAGTTGCAGGAAGAACTAAATAACAGCCTTTATGTCCCACTATACAGATGTCTGTTAATCAACCACTTTCTTCCTTCTACTTATCTATATGCATGCTCGAGCAAGTGCAACATCTAGTCCAATAAAGCATTTATGCACTAAAATAAGTTATATAAATAATCTTTTTCTTTGAAAAGATAGAATGTGATGAAGTCAAAACTTCTCCCAGTAACTCTCCATTGCTAAGACGTCTAGATCAGATGTAGCATCATCCCAATATCCGCATTTGTGTTGTTGGACAATTTCTACTGCCACATGGATCTTCCCGTTTCAACTTTACTTTTCCATCAGCCAGAGCATCCCAATATTTTCTAGGATTTTGCAGTGGGATAGGCAAGATATAAAAAGAACCATAGCAAACTGCAGAAATCACTAACTTCGAAGAGTTCTCTACATTAGTAAGAAGCCAATTCCTTGGATCCCAGTAAAGAGTAATCTTAGAATTCTATATACTAAGGAAAGTGACCCAGTGAAGAAAATAATATTCATGTAGAAGCTGAACCAATATTACCGTCAAAAATCTCATTGGTGCTACCGGCTTGACATTTTTGTCAAGGTCATTAAATAAATCTCGTGTTGCAACAGTCAATAAATGAGAAGTCTGGTCCACTTCATTGCTTCTAACTGGAGGAGGGTACCTGATAGTAGAAAAGTACAAACGACTCAACAAAAAAACTTGATTTTCCAAGAAAATGCATATTGAAGAGGTTAAAGATCACAGAGCATGATCATCTTTAAAACAAAGTTTCTACAAGAAAATACAAAAACTCACTTTATCAAAGCAGACTTTAACTCTGGGACTGAATGCAAGCATTGCACTGTTGAGTTCATATAGCAGGTGTTTCCTAGATTAAATAAACCAGCAGAATGTCCCTGGAGCAAATATCACCAGTCACCATAGGTCAACAGTGTAACATTAGCAGATGAAGGCAGTTTAGCTATCTCAAATAAATACAAGAAGCTGTATCACCCTAAATGCAAATCAAGCAAAAAGAACATGGACACTGCAATATTTCTGAAGTCTAAAATGGTGCCCTGTTAAAGCAGGATGTTGATGTTGTTCTATCCAAAGTAAAAGAAAAGAACTTGAGAGACTGAAAAGAGAATTTCACCAACTAAAAGACCTAGTTAGCCAGGAAGATTAAGAAATATTTAGGCTTGGCTTAGCAAAGGAAAATAAAATCAAAATGGTAATGAAAATATGCAATTCCCAACAATTGCTGGAAATTATTATGCCCCTTGGGCCTGTCACAACGCAAAGGCTCCACTCCATTACACAAATTTTCAATGCAAAAATCACATCCAACAAAGGCAGTCAAAGCATGTTCAGAAGTAAATAATGTTTTTAAGAACAAAAATTGTGTTGAACTTTAATCTAGATCTAGTGTATTTCAATAACAAAAGCTGGGCTCATTTTAAGTGCTGTTATGGGAGAAATTATAAGTTGCTGAAAATATAAATTATTAAATTGATAGAAATGAGCGGTAAGATAAATGGGTAGTAGTTGTGTCCCAAGAATGTGTGGTTAAAACTAAAGTTTGATTTTGACCTTTAAATTATAATGAGATTTAAATTCAAACCAATCAAGCACCAAATATAGGCTAATCATGCATTACACACTTTCAAATATTAAACGAAACCGTGGATGGCACCTAACTGTCAAAGCAACGTTATTGTAGTTAGACACTATTAAAAAAACTTCTGAATTATTATTAGTAAAGATTAAACATGTCTTGAGTCGCGAAATGCCTCAATAATTTGGTTATCGTGTTTAAAATTTTTGGATCAACAGATTTGTCTGTCAATGTGTGACCAATTTGCACATGCACCATTTTCACATCAGCTGAACTAGTATTCCTGTAAATCTTTGGAAAAGCCGCAGACCTCCTCTAATAAACATATTTCAAGAAGGTTAATATATAAATTAATTACCATGTGAATAACTTGTTCCTCTTCTGGCATGTCTTCAGCAAAAACAGGGCCCTTTTCTGGAGCCTTTACAATCTCATCTGCGGTTCCCATCATCATCAATTTTTGACCCTGCATAAATAAAACATACTAAAAATAAGTAAAAGCTGATTCTACTTTATAAATTGAACAAAGTCTCGTACAATATAAACCGTTCACCTCTTTCACTCCTAGTTTTGACCAATCTGCATCGTCCTACATTGTCAAGAAACATGACTTGAGATGTTGAAAGAATATTTTAGTCAAGCAACAATAAGAAGAAATCTAATGCAGCACGCCAGAAAAAATTAACTAAGTACTTTATTTATTTAAAATAAAAATAAATATCAGCCATATTATTTTCTCACTAAGAAGCTACTTCGATACCTTTAGTAAGCCACCTTTGACCATAATCTTTTGTCTTTCAGGTGGTACTCCAGTAAGGTCGTAGAGCTGGCACTTGAAAACGTATGGGGACTGGCTAGTGTCTATTTCCACATTGGAAAACAACTCTTTTTGCCACTTTACACTTACTGCAAAAATGACAATACAAGCGATGTCAAACACATACCAAAACGTCCTATATATGTTTGGAAAAAGGTTGCTCTTAGAATAAATGGAGAAATGGAACATTCGATCAAGAGACCATACACAAAAACCCCCCATGAAATCTTTGTTTGCACAATGGCCAATGCAGTCCCCTCTACATTTTTTTGGGAAAATATGTTTAATACCTAAATTTCCCTCATAAAACAAAAGGAAAAAAATAATAATAAATAAATAAATAAACAGAGATATCTCAGATAACAATTATCTCTAGAGAGAGAGAGGGGGTCTCTCTCTCTAGGTTATAGCAGAGATAGAGGCTAAGTAATTTCACTTGCAATGAAGCATAAATAAAACCCAATAATATTGGAAAACATCATTAAACTTGTGCTGAAGTAGCATAAAATATAACTGCAAAGAATTCTGTCCTGTTTATGTGAACAATAACCTTATGCATGCGTACTTTCTTTTTCTGAAAATTTTTAACTTTATTTCCATAGAAAATGCCATCCTAGATCGATTACCATTTTTGCTTCTCATGAAATCTTATTATAATTGAATCATTTTCAAGATTCTTTGGCACATACAATTTCAGCAATGGGCATGTTGTTATGCCTCTTGATTAGAAGTAAAAATTCTAACAATCTAATCGACAGTCAAGTTGAGAAGCATACCAGGTGCGTTTTTGGACCAAATTATTTTTTATGGCAAGTTAGCATGTAAATTTGTTATCGTGTGTTGTTTTCCATTCTACTCTTTGAATGGAGTTTCCTGTACAAAGCTTGATGTGGTTTCATATGTTCCCAATGGCTGGGAAGAGGAAGCTTCAGATTACTTGTAAAGATAACTGTGCTTGAATAGAGGATAATAAATGGACATTGGGTCAATAGGGAGAATCCACCCCCAAGATCTAAGACCACCCAACAATAAACCCAGCATTTCTTAATGAAACATTCCAAGATTCTCCACAAAGTTCACTTTTTTTCTTCTCCCCCAAATCAAAGAGTTAAAACTGATATTTACTTATCTCATGAGTTAGTAAGAAGCACCTAAATTAGAAACTAATACTTCAGTTCTTGCACATCATTAGTAATAATAATTTTATGTTAGGACTTCGATCTTCCAATTCCAAAAAGTAGCAGTCCATCTAAATAATAAATAATACCAATCTCCAGTCAATAATAAGCGTATATACAAATACAACACACTAATCAAGAAGCAACGACAAGCAAACACAAAAACCAATATCGAAATAAAAAAAATCTCAAAGGAAGCGTCTTCAAATACGGCTCCTCGAAATGTTCACATAAAATTTGAAGCAGGAAACCCATTTCAAATTGAAATTAGAAATTTTCGGGGATTGAAGAAAATAATGTTAATTGATAACAGGAGGAATTAACAAACCTGTCGGCATGATTAATTTATGTTTCGGCGAGGACAGGATCGGGAGAGGGCTATGAGTTCTGTATGCGTCTGTAGTTTCGCTTGCTTGAGGAGAAGGGCAAATCCCCGAGGACCAGTTTATATATAGGGGGAAGAGAGAGCCAGATTTTTAATTTAAGGTTCTTTTTGGTACTTGTAATTAATTTGTTAAATGATCGGGGATTAAAGTGCTATTTTGCAGATCTTTTTTTCAAAATATAAAAGGAAGGGAAATGAGGTGTTTTGAGCATGTTTGACTAAACTTAAAAACCAATTAAAATTGAAAATGTAGTAGTTATTGGGTCCACTCGTCTAATAAAAGTCAATAATAACGATTAATTTTTCAATTTTAATCCGATTTTAATTTCTACTGAACACGTCCTTTATCATTCGTTTGATAGAATTTTTGAAAATCAAAAGCTATTTTTTTAAAAATCTAAAAAACTCCGCTCCTGTTTGAGCCTCATTCTACAAGAAATCATTTTCAATTATACATTTTTATAATAAAATAATTTTATGATAAAAATAATCATACATTCTTCAAAAACAACTACTAAGAAATTCATTTTAAACAAAAAAAAATGGAACTAAAATAAGCCCCCTTTTTTAGTCCATTTTGGTAAGGATTAAAATCAATATTTTAATCTAAATCAAAGCTAATAATTAATTTTAAACACATATTTCATGAGACCACAACTTTTCAACTATCTATTTCATCAACTTTTCTTCGTTTTTTATGCAATTTTTATCAATTATTTTAATATGTTGACGTGGAAAATTGTATAAACAAAATTCAAGCAAACTTCAAGTGTAAATAAGGATTTTTATTGGTAATTACTTACAAACTACAAATGCTTTTATCAAATGAGATATTTAAAATATGGAGTTGTTGGGCTTCCTCTCCCTCATTTTCGTAGGGATATCATCCCTCCTTTTATAGGAAATGATGGGCATGTATCTTTCATATTTTTATCTTGTCAACAACAGTATCGAGGTGGAAACTTGTGTCAATGACTTAAGTCCTGATCGGTTGCGTTAAATCAACATACAATATTGAGTTGGGAAGGTATGCCAATGGCATATCTTGATTGATTGCCGAGGTCGACTCCACCAGGTTATCATGAGGCCACCTTAAATGGGGTCTCCAATAATTAATGAACTAATTAGATAATGACAGTATAGCATATGATTAGTATAATTGGTGGGCGTTAACGTAAGTCTTTCCAAATGTCATTAATTGATTAAATGTTTTGATATTGTGTAAGAAATCTACAATTATTATGTCCCCTCAAGCCCTAGCGGTTATAAGTACGAGTTGACCTTACAGATCCGACCTTAATTTTGCGTGAGCTAAATGCATATAACAAACGGACTTAATTAGGTCGCAAATCGAATGTCAACATAATATATAATGACTAATTTTGAGTTTGTTTCATTACACTTAATAGCTCATAATTTTTCAGAAGCAAATATTCATATTTTTTTACAGGGCACGTTTAAGCACTAATTTTTATTTTTTTTTGGATAAAATGTATTTTAGAATAATAGATCGATGGAGAGTTTGTGGTTAAAAAATAAGAAATTTTTTTAAATATTGCATATAATAGTATTTTATTAAAAAATGTGTAATTGAAAAGAAGTTATGTATTTTGATAAAAATAGATCAAACAAGGGCATAATCATAAATGATGACACACGATTTTAGTTTGAAATGAATGCTGAAAATAGCAACTTCGCGAGTACATGAAAAGAGGAAAAAGTACAAAAAGGAGAACAGTATTGCTTTCTTCCTCACAAAGATGCCATTTTCTGCCACCGCGAGGAAAGCCCCCTTCTTCGCTCTTATCCACAGTTTTCTCGCACTAATCTAATTTCGCTCCACCAAAGAATTTCTTCAATTTGACTTTTTGACCCCACAATTCTTGTCCGTTTTCACTTTTGTTCTCTGCCTCACTACCCCGCTCACACGCACGCGAAACCTTATACTTTTCCATGTAAGAACCGATAATTTGTAAGAAAAAGTCTGATTAAAACTTAATTGAATTTGTTCATTTACAAGTGCGATCCCTTATTATTCATTGTTATCAACGCCTGTGGAGCATTTCCAAGTCTAGTGAAGGCCAATTAAAGGTCGATACAGGTGCAACCGTACAAGCCTTTCTTTTGTTACCCTTTTAAAGAATTGGATTCTTGTACAGGGACTTAATTTGTACGAGGGTGTTTTTTCCTGTACGCTACTTCATTTCGGGGAAATGATTGGTTTCAAATCGTGGGATTGTTTTGATTGTTTAAATTTCCTTTTCTGAATGTGAAGATTTCTTCGCATTTTTTGGCTTACGTTTCGAGAACATATCTGAATAAAGCTATTATTTTTTCTTTGCATATCTGGAATTTTTGTCATTCGTTTCTCATTGCTTCTTTGGGTTTGCGTTTGTTTTATGATTGGAAAGTAAACATGCAACTAATTGAAGTGTAGAACCAGGAAAATTGAGTGGAAATTTTGGCTGAATTATTTTACCAGAGACTACTGTTGCTGAACTTTGAAATATTGCTCATACTTTTTTTTATTTCTTCTTATTTGTGTGGAAGTCTTATTTTTTGAGTGGCTGCTTCGAAGAGATTCACGTGCCTTCTTAAGTGTCACTTATTGGGCTCTTAAAAAAGTTTTGTGGGAACAATGCTTTGTGTGAGCCATGATAGCTCGATGGTTACACATGTTGATTTAGTTATTCAAAGAGCTAAAATGTTACGAGCTTAGCCCATGTCATTGTATATCGAAGTAGCTGCACATGTCGATGTTGTAAATCAAGAGCATCTCTTGTTAGATATGGCCATTATCAGAAAGGAAGTAAGGTTCTACGTTTTTAATTAGGAAATATTACGATAGGTTTTTGATGCATCCCTTGTGTTAATGTCTTCCAAATTTTTGGATTGATGTATAATGTCCTATCAAGCAATGTTGTCAATATGGATGGAAAATCATTAAAGGGACATGAGGTCTAGTCACCAGGTTAACTTTCCCCTTTTGAAGGCTCTACCCATTTGACCTTTCAAATCTAATTCCAATGCTCAGGGATCAAATTGACAAATTGAAATTCAAGGATTAAAAGTGGCACTTTCAGGGACTATTGGTGTATTAAACACTAATAAGATGGTAGTGTGTTCATCCTTCATCCTTGTGGCCTTTAGTAACTTTGGAATTTTTCAGGTGACATCTATTAACATTTACTCCCATGCCAGACTAAAGAAGAACAATGGATAACATATAACAATAGATGCATTCTTGTGCTCGTGTCTGTGTGGGAGAGTGTATTTTGTTGTTTGATTTCCATTCTTGTATGAATGATTGTGCCAGATGACTCCAAGTAGTTGGAGGATGAAATGTAGGATATGAGTATATGACTATCCTTTTGTCTGTGGTTCAAAGTTTTGATATTTTGATGTTTTACAGTGTTCCTTTGCAATTGAATGCTTAGGTTTGAATGGGAACAAGGTTATAGGTGAGGTTTGAAAAGTCAGGATATGATGTAACTTTTCATATTTATTATCAAGACAAATGCCCAGAATTCTTTAGAGTCTGTTATACATGTGAAGGCATTTCTCTGAACAGAAAAATATTAGTCCTGGAAAAAATTCATTATTTGTGGACATCTGAAAAAGGAAACAAGGCCATTTTCATCATGGACCCAACACTCAATGAAGGGAGTACTTTTTCAGCTGGTGCTGTTTTACCCAATTAAGTATTCGTGTGTGTTTGTTCAACAGAAAGTGAGTATCTCAAGCTGCGGGCTGAATTGAAATGCTGAATGTTGCTTCCATCTGGTGCGCTTGGGATGACTTCTACAATGGATGATATGAACTTAATCCAGCAGGCTCCGAGTCATCACATTGTGGTCAGGGAGCTAGAAGAAATTGATCTGGAAATAGGGACTGGTGACGACGATCCCACTTTTGCCCACAATCCTCTACTTGGCATTCAGCCCCAGGAGTCCTCCACTGAAGAGCTTAGTGAAAACAAGCAGGTGATGGATTCTCAACTTCCGAATGAGGAGCAGGATTTGTCAAGGACACAATCAGCTAAGAGGAAAAAGAAAGTTGTTAAAAGATGGAGAGAGGAGTGGGCTGATACGTATAAGTGGGCTTATGTTGATGTGAAGGATGGAACAGCAAGGATATTCTGCTCTGTTTGCAAGGAGTACGGCAGAAAGCATAGGCGGAACCCTTATGGAAATGAAGGCAGTAGGAATATGCAGATGAGTGCATTGGAGGAGCACAATAATAGCTTGCTTCACAAAGAAGCTCTCCGACTACAACAAGCCTCGAAAGAGACGATAATTGTTGATAAACCTATATATGTAAAAGGTGAGTTCCAATTTATTTTGTGCTACATTTCATTTGAAGGTTTTCCTTTATTTGGGTTTTCATATATTTAGTTCCAATTTATTTTGTGCTACATTTCATTTGAAGGGTAGTTCCAATTTATTCACTAAATCATCTTTGTATTTCTCTTTCCTGGATATGATTCATCTTGGTAGGTTAAATTATGAAACTGCAAAGGAGATAATTGCACTTGTGTCCTCTTCTCCTATTTTCATTCTTTGTGAAGATATGTAAAACTTTGTCATTTTGTGGACTATAGAACTCTTCTGTTTATTTCTTCATTTATTTTTATATTAGAATGTGTTGGCAAACATGATTAGACATGAGAGAAGGAGGGCCTGATATTAATTTCTTTTTGCGAAACTTATATACCAATCTATGCAATCTATTTGGCTGGATGAATTTAGAGGATCTGATAACCATTTTCTTTCAATTTGAAGGAAATCAAGCTCTTCCTAGACTTGTTGACAAATCTTGTAGTATAAAGGAAACAAGGGGAATTGATGATTACATTTGTTCTCTTTATACCTAGGATTCTTCATCTTCATGTGTATTATAAATTTTGTTTAGTTGAGCATCCCTTAATTCTCTACCAATTGGATGGCTTCGTTC